CTTTGCTCGGTTTCTAATCCTGAGGATCTTCCCGTGGCTCCACCTTTTTTTGCGGATCGGTCCAGCCCTGTACAAGGCTGGTTCGTTCTTCCCCTGGAGTCTTCGCGTCTTGGGTTTTTGTCTCGAGTTTCTCGTCACTTGTGTGGGCACTGGTGGATTCGTTGTTGGTCTCCCAATTGCGTGCTTCGTCTCAGTGGCAGTGTGTAGTTTCCTGATGGTCCTTTCAATTTTCCTATCACTGTGAAGGATTCTTCAGTCTCTGATAGGGTTGTCTTGTCTTTCCTTTCGGGGGGCTGTTCCAGGACCATTGTCTGGTGCCGTGTACTGTCGCCTCATATCGGGTGGCACTGGTGGGTTGCTCCAGCTTGCGTCTGGTATTGCTGTTCCTTCTGTTACATTCTGCTTGCTGTCTTGTGCATTGTTTCACCTCCGGCCTTCTCATGCGCTTCCGGTGTCATCCTGGTTGTTAGCCTGGGTGGTCTCTTTTCTTTTTTCTCCTCTGTTTATGATGATCCCTTCGGTTCTGGTGTCTTTTTTTTGTTTTTCAGGTCTCCTTTTTCTGTTGGCATTGACCTCTGGGGGTCGGGTCGGGGAGTTTCTGGCTCTCCTCCAGCGCCCGTGTTTTGTCTGCCTCATTTGGTCCTAGTGGTAGGTTGTTTGCTGCAGTCTTCTTCTTTTCGGGTGATGTTTGGGTCTGCTATTTTCCGGAGGGGTCCTTGGGTTGTTGCATGGTTGGTCAGGCCAAGAGTGCTTCATTTGTTGTGTTTGGTTGTGGCTCTTAGCTGCTCTCTGCGTGTCTTGGCCTCTGGGGCCGTAGACGCGTTTTGGTTTACCTGGGATCCCTTCCTTCCCTCCTTCATGTTCTGGGGTTCGAGTCTCCCGGGTCGTCTGCAGAGTTTTATTTTCGTCTGTGGTCTTGTTTTTGTGTTAGGGCATGTAGCGTCTGCCTCCCAGATCCTTCTCTCTTTTCCTTAACTTCGGGGAGCCGACGGGGCTTCCCTCAGAAAACCAGTGTTGAATGTAATGAAACGCCATTTTCTGGGTAAGTCCCAGAGGCTCCCCTGCATCCTTCCCTCCCTCCGATCGGCGGTGTTTTTCACGTATTTCGACATCCAGCCTGAGAACTGCCAGTTGGATCACCAGCACGGAGGGTTTGGGGCTCCCTCTACCCCCTCCCAGGGAGGGGGGGGGAGGGTTGTGCAGACGACGGAGTGGCGACGTGATGATATCATGCTAGTTTTCTAATTTTGTTTGGGGAGTTCTGTGCACAAGTTCGGCTTTCGGAAGCAATATTTTCACCAGAATAGGGGTTAGCTTTGGAGCGCCTACCTTTCTGGGTGCCTGTCTCGGTCTATGGCAGACATAGAATGCTCCCAACCACAGGGGGATTTCTATAGGCCATTGCTCCTTGTGCCTCTCTGAGGGAGCCAGGTTCTGGCTCGTGGTCCCTGGTAGGCAAGGACTCCAAGCACTTCAACTGATGCCAGAAAGTTATACATATCCATTCAGCCTGGATAGCCCCAGGGAGCCTCCGGGACTCGCCCACAAAATGGCGTTTCATTACATTCATCACTGTTTTTTTCCTATGACAGTTTGCCTTTTTCTGGCATGTATCACCACAGATGTCCTTCTCAGTCTTCCAGATCTGGGAGACTTGATGGGCACATCTTCTAGGTAACCATTTACACTCTATCTGATTTTTTTGCCTATTGTCTACATGTGAAACATTGCAGTAGATCTTTTCTAGTAGTCTTCCTTTTGGGCTGGGATTTGTGGGCCTGGTTGACTGGGTCTCCATGGCAGTGGTTCTCATATCCCCTGCTGTCCCTTCTGGCACCCCCGCTTGTATATACAAGTGTTCCCTGGTGTATTATCTGGCTCTGCATAATGTTTAGCAACTTTGTTACTTGCCTAAGCAAGTAACAAAGTTGCATTAGATGAGAAATAAAGCACTAAGTGTAGATGAAAGGTCCTCTCAAAGAAGCCACTTAGTTGCTCCTGATTTTCCTGACTTATCCTATATTCTCTGTGGTTTTAGTATGGATGAGGGTAAGATGACAACTCCCAGTGACTCTCTTAATAATGAGGTACTGACACCTGCTGACAATCTGGGGTATGAGCCATGTGGCCAACTAGCGATTAGCAGAGTGACACTTGACAACTTATTTGAGACTGAGTACAAACTGGAGAAGGTTTTAGTGTTTAGATGAATGAGCCTATTGAAGATCATTTTGGACTGGACAGAAAAATTTCTTGTGTCTCCCTTCACCCACTAATGACCCAGTTGTAGTGTTTGCAAAGATCCCAGCTGCATCAAAGAGTGAAAATTGCACTAGCCTAGCTGTTGTGATACCATTTCATTGTGAAAGAGAGGCTTTGCCTTAGGGGGCAAACAAGCGACTTCTGTAGAAATTAAATTATTATTTTCACTCAAAACTGTATTTGTTTTGGCTGAAGCAGCTCTCCTCTACAATTCAGTACTGAACTGTAGAGGAAAGATTTAGTTTTTGGGTAAAGTCTAATATAAAAAAAAATCAGTGTTGAATGTAATGAAATGGCATTTTCTGGGCGAGTCCCGGAGGCTCTCTGGAGCTATACCGGGCTGAGGCGTATATATTACACCGTGGCAACAGTCAATCGATGGAGTTCTAGACCTACCAAGAATCAGCACCGGAACCTGGCCTCCCCTCAGAGAGGCACGAGGAGCCCCCATCTTGAGATTATCTTGAGACGATTTCGGGGCATAGCGTCCCCACAGCCCGGGCCTCGACCAGACCTCATTTTTGTTACACACCCCCAGGAAGCAGCTGTCTAGCTCCCTGGTACCTATTTATTACTAGGTGAACAGGGGCATCAGGGTGAAAGAAACTCTGCCCATCTGGCCTAATGGCCTATAAACACCCCCTTGTAATTGGAAGCAGTCAATGTCTGCCATCTACCAGGTCAGGCATCCAGAAAGGTAGGAATCCCAAAACGAACAAATAACAGCTGGTTAAACATTGGAAACTGAAAGCCGAACAAGCAAACAGAACTCCCCAATCAGGAAACAAGCAAACAAGCATGAGTCACCACAGCCCCCGCTGTCGGTGCAACTCCTCTCCTCGGAAGGGGGGGGACGGTGGGGGTCCCAGACTTTCCGTGTTGGCCAGCCAACCTCAGTTCTGAGGCTGTTGTGTTGGGTGACGGTCAATTGACTCTGGCTTCTATCTTTGAGCAGTGTTGTGCCTTATGGTGTTGTGGTGCAGTGTGGTGGTGTGCAAGCCAGGTGTTATTCCAGAAGTACTGGGGCTGCATACACCTAGGGTTCCCTTCCCTTAGGTGCCCTGTTATTACTGCCCTTGTAGTTTGGGGGTTATCTTTCAAAAACGGATCAGGGGCTACCTCCACAGAGTTCTTTTGCTGCTTGGTGATTGCCTGCCCTTGGGGTCAGCTGGGGTTTTTCCTACCCCTGTTTGGCCCTGGGTAGGAGGTAGCATCGTCGCTGGCAGGGGCGCAAGGTACTGTGCAGCTGTCTTATATTATACATAGCAGCCGGTTCTGTTCCTCCTGGAGACGTTGTGCTTTTGAGGGACATTTCTTTTTCGTTTTGTTTCGTTTTGTGTGGTAAGGGTCTGCCTGGTGTGGCTGTAGGACTACTTGTATGATTTTAGTGGCCCTCCACTAGGTCCCCGTGACTGCACACATCACAGGAGCTCAGATTTTGTTTGTTTGGTAGCTCTGGGATAACTGGATAACAGTACCTTGCCTGGGCTTCCCTTAGCAGTCGGCCTAAGTGCCCTACAACCCCCTATTGGGCTCATTAGTTCAATGGATGCATCCTCTGAGTCCCATCTCGCTTCGTGCGAGTTTTAAGATTGCTCTGTTCCCTTGTCTCAGGGTAACACTCACCATCTTTGTTTCTGCCATGCTGCCTGTTGGGTCAATAATACCTTTGACCCAGAGTTCTGCAAGTGGTGTCCCTTGCTGTACGCCAATTCACCCAGTTCATTGATATTGATATTCAGGTGCAGGCAGCTTCAGCCTTGCATGCCTGGTTTAGGTTGCTGCAATATGCTAGGTTGGTTGCCTTTCCAGGTGTCCTGTGGCTGCCCCACTTTGGTTATAGGGACCTGAACTTAGGGGTGGTCTGCATCTGCAGAACAGTGTTCTTCATCTGTGCCCTCTTGTCCTTTCCCTGCTGTGGTTCATCCTGGTCCCCCGCCCCCTTCCCCTCCATCTCATGTTCCCAAACATTTGAGGGTTTTGGAGTCGGGGCCAGGCTTTCTAGGTGGTGAGACTCGGGTGGCCTTGAGGACTGCCCCTTCCAGATTGGCGATGGAGACATTTGAGCCTGTTCCTCCTGCTGGGAAATTTAGGTCATGTCAGCAGGCTCCTACTTTCCTGCTTTTCCAGTGGACTCTGCCTTTTCTCCAGCGGCAGAGAGTTTGAAGGATGGCTCGGCCCTGGATCCTGCCTTAGAGATTGGGGAGGAGTTGACTGTGGGGGCTCGGGCCCCATTTGAACACACTTGGGTGTTGGAACCCATGGCACAGGGCTTGTTGTTACAGGGGGGGAGGTTTTTTTTTTATCCTCTCTCCCCTCCCTGTACAAAGTTTGATATGGGTTCGACTCCTCCCTGTGTTTAGTTCTGGGTTCCCTTGGGTTCCCATCGATTGACTGTTGCCACGGTCTAATATATACACATCAGCCCGCTATAGCTCCAGGGAGCTGGAGGGGCTTTCCACAGAAAATAAGCCTAAAATTAGAAAAAGAATAATGAACATTTCCACCATTTTACAGAACTTTTTAACATATGTATGTATACTAATAAAAGATAAAAATAGAAGGGGGAACCCATTTGTTGTTAACATTTAACCGAAACATGTCTAATTTTTCTATCAGTACAGTACAGTACACTGTACCTGTATTTTCTTTTATATATAATAATTCAACATTCAATGTGATGTAAGCAATCTGTAAAACTCTAACTGGTTAAGTGGTTAAACTATAAATGTGCTCACCGTCGTCTTCTCAATGCATTACTTTGACCTGGGAGTCCAAAAAATCCACGAGGTATCACCATCTGCGGGTTCCCTCTTGCAGGCCGAGATTTTCCTAACGCAGACAATGAGGAAAGGTGGGCTGCATAGCCATCAGTCAAAACCTGTGATACAAAAAACAAAATACATTTAATGTATAGCAATTTATAATACAGTATCAATTTAATTTATATCAATTTTCTCTCTCATCTTTAACAGTACTTTGGTCCACTAAAATGCTTTAAGAGAATATGCAGAATTTTACCCCAATATACATTTTATATCTACATAATTCTACAGAAACCCAAATAAAATAATATACAATATTTTGTAAAGATAATATATCTGAAGAACTTATTGTCATTCCACTTTCATATTATAATTTCCGGGCAGGACCTCTTAGTAGCTTGCCAATGCTTACGTTCCAATACCACAGAGCCTCATGCCAGGCCTTTGACACCTACACTTACCTATTGGAAGCCAGCACCAGAAGCTTACTCTTTCTACAAGGTGAAGGAAGTTTGGTAATTCAAAATCTACCTAAAACTGAGGAATCCCACCTAAAAGGTTAGGCAAAATCAAACTAGCTATTGCATTAAAGAAAAAACCAGCGTTGAATATAATGAAACGCCATTTTCTGGGTGAGCCCCGGAGGCTCCCTGGAGCTTACCAGGCTAATGTATGTTATATTAGACCAAGACATTAGCTAAGGAGTTCAGACCTACCAGGGACCAGCGCCAGAACCTGGCCTCTTCAGAGAGGTTTCAGGGAGCAATGGCCTTGGAAAACCCCTTGTGGTTGGGGTTTTCCTTATCTGCCATCGACTGGGGTCAGGCACCCAGAAAGGTAGGCATAACAAAACAAACCCCACATGGTAAAAACTAAAACAAAAACCGAACATAGAGGTAGAAACTCCCTACAATCACAAGGAAACAAGCAAACAAGCAAACATCACACTTTACTGCCGCGCCGATCGTCCGCGCAGCCCTCCCCGCCCCGGGAGGGGGACGGGGGAGCCCCGGACCTACCGCGCCGGCTGCCAAGCTCCAGTTCGGAAGCTAAGCTTCAACCAATGCGAAAAAAATGCCGACTGGTGGGAGGGAGGGTTGCCAGGGAGCCTCCGGGGCTTACCCAGAAAATGGCGTTTCATTACATTCAACGCTGGTTTTCTGTGGGGAGCCCCTACGGCTCCCTGGAGCTTCATACCCAAAGAGAAGGAAAAGAAAGCGCTAACCCGGGAGGCGGCGGCAACAAACTCTGCAACGCAAAGCCAAGACAACCGGTCGCAAACCTGCGACCCAAGGCAACAAGAATGCCCAAGAGCAGAAGCGCATAAGGATGGGTGGCCAAGAACCTGTGCGACCCACAAATCCCTGCGCCCGAGACGTCACCAACACAGCAGCAGCAAAAGCTGCAAACGTCTGAACAGCACGGGCGCAAAGACAGACCGCAGGCTGGAAAAATGAAAACACTGCGGACGACCTGGGAGACCCGAGCCCTGAAAACAGGGAACGAACGAACCGGATCAACCTCAGCGCATCCCCAGACACGGTACGCCGGCAACAGCAAAAAGCACAACCGGACAACACAGGACGCACCCCCCCGGCCAAACCAATCAAGTACCAATACCCCAAGAACCCCTCCGGAAAGCAGCCGTCTCGACCGTCGTCGCCAGGACAGAGAAAGGCTGCACATCTATAAAGCTACCACCAGTACCAAAGAGCAGGAAACTGAACCGAAGGGGCTACCACAAACTGAGGGGAAGATAAGAAGGCACCCTGAACAAGGACCAGGATGGCTCAGGCGACGCATGAGCAGGCCAGAGGGGAAACAAAACACGAGAAAACGGATGAAACGTCATACTGTCGCCAAGACGAAGCTAGCAGGTGGGACACCGTCAACAAAGCCACCTGAACACCATAGAGATGGTGATACCCGCGTCAAAATACCAGACGCAAAGAGCCAAGGAGAAGGCCGAACCAGTCATAGACAGGACCGATTCGGCCTGCTGAAAGAGGCGGAGCCTCAGGAAAAACGCCCCGGGTACGGACACCTATCAAGCAGCGTCTGAAAAGAAGGCCGGGCCGGCCACCATGGAACTATAAGGACTGTTCTCGTGGGAATGGGCTGCAACCGAGCCAGAATCTGAAGCAACAGCTGGACCGGGAGAAGAGGAACAGGTACCCCCCACCTCGACCAGTCCTGCCGAAAGCATCCACCATGAAGTCCTCGCAGGTGGGAAAGGGCGCCACAAAATGGACGACGCCTAGACCACGCTGACCCGAAGACGTCCATGGTCAGGAGTCCATATGCCCGACAGAGCCAACAAAACGAATCGGCGACGACTGGCCAACCCACGAAGAGGAATGAACTGAGACAGCTGTCCGCCAGGACGCAGGACACACCCTGGACACGAACCTCACGGTTAGCCAAACCCCTGTGGTTCCGGCAAGAACCACCAGAGAACAGTCCGAACAGAGCTGAATGGTAGAGTACCTAGTGACCCAAACCCCCCGAAGTGCAAACCAGACAGCCATGAACACCCGAACCATGCTGTGAGCCCGACAGACAGACACCATCAACCTCGGCCGACCTGGTGAGCACTGGTCACAAAGCCCGAGCCGAGAGACGACCCATCCGTGAACACATCGAGCGAAGGCTCGGGAAGGTGCCAAGGCACGGAACCCCGAAAACCCCAAAGAGGAAGCTGGTGACGCAGCACCAACACAAGATCCCCGGAGGAACCCAATGACTGCAAGAGGTGGAAAGGGAGTCTCCGCAGGAACCAACAGACGCCGTAGCCAAACCCGACTCCGCGGGCAAACAAGCACGCCGAAGTGCAGACTCCCGCACAACTGCTCAAGCAACCGCTGAGCAACCCGGGACCCCCTCCTGAACAGCCGAATGCAGGACCACAGCCGCAGTAACACTTCTGGAGGGAAGACAATGAGGGGCCCAAGAGCCTTAAACAAGGCCCAGGTCCGAACCCGGGACGGAAACAGATGGAAAAACCTCCAGATCACTAGGAAACCAAACCCGGCAATCTGGAAAGAACCATCCCCTGGCGAGCAGACAAACGGGACTGACTGTTAGCCCACACCAGCCAGTCGTCGAGGTAGGCCAGACACCGAATCTCAGACTCAGACAGGGCACTAAGATCCGGTAAAGATGCAAAAAGTATACGAAGTGCCCATTACAAAATAGGGAAGGCAATAAAAACAGCAAACCTGAAGCCCCACCACCAACCGTGCTAGTCCCAGAAAAACTGGAGAGAAACGTGCCAAGAAGTGACCTGGAGGTCCAGGGCCACCATCCATGCACCCGGCCCCAACAGAATCCGAACATGAGACAACAGTCCTCCGAGGAGGGCATAGGATCCAGGGCGCAGACTGAAGAAGTCCAGAAGAACTGCAGACGGGAAAAGCTCATGACTGCAAAGAGCAGACGAGAACCCCAGAACCCCATGGGGCGGAACGACCATGCCCCACGCACCCACGAAGAGGAAATGACGAAGCGCAGGGTAAGAAGCCCACCCCGCCAGCTCTGAACCCCCCCAAGGGGGAGAAGCTATCCTCCGACGCCAGCAGAGGCCGGAAGACAACCCAAGCGCCCACCAACAGCGGGACCATGCGAGAGGCAACAGAGCAAGCTGCTCCCCCAGCGCCCAGTCAACAGAGAAGGGAACAGAACCCCTTCCGAAAGAAAAAGTACACTACCTAAGTCATGAGGAGAGACTACGGGAATTAAACCACACTTCGCTGGAAGACGAAGAGTGAGGGGAGGCCTGATCACCACATTCAATATACCCAAGGGAATCGATAGGGTTGATAAGGACAGGCTATGTAACACAAGGGGCACACGCACTAGGGGACACAGGTGGAAACAGAGTACCCAAAAGAGCCACAGAGATAGATTTTTTTTTTTTTTTCAGTGTCAGAATGGTAACAGGAAAGCACTAGGAAGTAATGTGGTGACTCCGCACACAAGTAACGAGGCTGACCCCCATACAATGTCACATGGAGACATGATAGAGCCCAATAGGCACAGGAACCTATACACCTACATAACATACACATACATACATACACATATATACATACACATATATACATACACATACATACACATACATAACATACACATACACCTACATGTATACACCTATACACATACATAACTAAGTCCATAATCATTTTTGGATGTTTAGAGAAGGAAATTTCATCTAGGGTGGACCGAGCGGCAGAAGAGATGAAAATCATAGAGAAAATAGTAGGTTTAGGAGAAGGCTCAAAGGAAAATGTCAGTGATTTTAGAAGAATAGGAAAATATGAGAAAGAAAAGAACCGCCCCTTAAGGGTGACCTTTAATGGAGTGAAAAACATGATGGAAGTGCTAAGAAATGCCAGGAAACTGCAGAGTGATGAGGTTGGCAAATCTTGGTCAATAAGACAAGACCTCTCCAAGGAAGACAGAGAAAAGCTGAAAATGAACTTAATTGAGGCAAAACGGCTAAATGGGGATAGAAATGAAGAAGACAGAAATTCTTTTTTTTACAAAGTGACAGGGACTGGAAAGCTTGTGAAATGGTACATAAAAACAAAGCAACAAGATCAGTAGTGGAAGGGGGAGTAAAGAGCAAAGGAAAAGGGAACATGTTCCTGAAAATTGTATATACCAACATAGATGGAGTGAGGTCAAAAACTTTGGAGTTGCAAGATATAATCCAGCTTAGGGTCCCAGATATTGTTGCATTATCAGAAACGAAAGTTGAAGGAAATATAATAAATGAAGTCATATTCCCAAGAGGCTACTCAGTTTGGAGACGTGACAGGAAAACTAGGAAGGGAGGAGGAGTGGCTGTACTGGTGAAAAAACACCTGAAGGTAAAAGAGTTAATATTTGAAAACCCTCGAGATATTGACATAATGGCATTGCAGGTCTGGAATCAGGATGATAACCTGATAATTGTAAATGCCTACAGCCCACCAGCAAGCAACACGTGGACAAAGGAAGAACTGGATGACAAACGAGAGGGCCTCATAATGGTCATGAGAGATATTATTGTACAAGCAGATAAAGATAAATCACGACTGTTGATACTGGGGGACTTCAACTTTAGAGCAAT